GGTAGCCACTTGAAGTCTTTCACAGACAGACTTTGAAACTCATGCTTCCTGCTCTAGATATTAACACTCTGTACCTCATGACTGAAAATGAAGGGAAACTACCTATTCCTTACATGCCAAACTTGGTGGCACATATATATCCCCCTGCAGAATGACCTTTTTCAGTTTGACACAAAGACAGGTATTTTAAGAAGTTCAGCAATAAACAAAATTTCAGTTTGATAAACATAAGATTTTCAAAATTCAAGACTTAAACGAATGTTAATTTATATTGCTGAGGAGTCACAAAGTCAATAATGAACAGATGCAGAGTCTGTGTGAAAAAATAAAACTAGATGGAACAAAATGGGACAAACCTAAACAAGCCAATGCAGAGTTTCTCATGAAGCCTTCATTTCTAAACAAATTCTCATCCAGTGTTCAACTCAGGTGTTAGATTAACATCACAAAAAAAAAAAAAATATAATCATTATCTGAATCTCAGGAGTTCAAGTTAATTTGCTCAAAATAAGCTTAATTATCAGATGGTTCCCACAGTAAACAGCAATTCATTCCCCTCATCTACACCTCTGGGAAGTAATGCAAGTTTGTAAATTAACATATCCACTCTAGCAGGGTAGAGGATAAAGAATGAAAGTGTATTCTCTACAGGTAAACCCAGACATTTTCCTCATAGTACAGAAGTATCGATATTTAAGCTGGTTTCTCTAATGTTAGATTAGAAATTCCATATTCCACTTTAAAACCATGATAGAGACCTGGAGTCACTGTTTCAATATATTGTTAAATAAGAGAGCAGCTTTTCAAAAGCATTGATAAATTGGTGCTCATGCATCATCAAAGTTTCTAAACCAGCAAAATGTGGAAACCCTCATCTGGTCCTGAGTTCTTCAGCAATATAAATTGCCATTAGATCCATCTAAGGAAAGGTCATCAGCCATCACATATCTATCCCTTAGCGTAGGAGAATAGAGAAGCTTCCTAATGATACACACCCTTACAACCAGGCACTTTACTGCCTGGTTGTAAAATATCTGCTCAGTACATTTCATGCAACAGTTAAATAGAAGAAAGGACTCCTGGTTACACAAGAACTATTTCCTTATTTGCCTCACTGATGGCCTTACCACTGTTTTAGACTTTTCCCTCCTCCAGTTCAGGGCAGGGAGATTAATAAGCATTTTAGAAGGTGTACTGGAAACATTTAATCTAGTAAGTATTCAAGAGTCTCAATACAAAAAAAGACAATTAATGATAAAAAAAAGAAAAAAAGAGCAGCAAGTTAACAGTTTTTATGCTCGAACATTAGCTGGTTTACATTTCTCAGCTACCAGCTACCCATTAGTGTTGCTAAGCAGAAAGTTTTTCTAAGTCTGCACATTTTCAAATTTAATATAAAATTAATTTTAAATCAGTGTTTTCTCTGTTTGGAGCACAATGAGACAGTCACAAACCTTCAGTCCATCTTTCATACTCTAAACAACCTTGTGACATGCTACAGTAAATCTCACAAGCATACTTTTGTTAGCAAACAGCTTAAGCAGCCTACCAGAGCTACCCACCCACTCAGTAAGCAACAAAGAACTTAAAAAACAAACAAACAAACAAACAAAAAGTACTTCATATAGCAGTACACTCAAGTTAATCAAAATGACTGCTTAGTAAAGGAAACCGTTACCTCAATTTTAATCAAATTATTATGTGTCTGTTCAAGAATCTAGTTCTCAAACACAAACAATTTTTATTTGGTAACAACAGCTTGACAGGGAACTTTTGCTTGAGTTTTGGTAAACTGACCTGGAAAGCTTGTTCTGAAAATTTCCAAGCCAGCAGACAAAAAACTGAACTTTTCAGTGAAATAGGATATTCTGCCTCATAAAAGCCCATCTTCTCCTCAGCCAATCAAGTGCTTAGATACAAAAATTCCTTAAGAGCTGAAGAACTTATTAAAGGATGGGTGAAAAGTTACTAAAACTAAGGATGACCAAAGCATTCTTCATACTAACTCAAATGAAAAATGGGATTAATTTCCAGTCTATTTTTCACATCCTATCAATGTAATTAAGAAGCAGTACATTTTCCCAGCACATTTTTCTTTCAAAGTTGTATATAAATTATAGGATATAGCACTAACCACTCAATTTGGAAAAATACAGAAACAAGACATTTGGAGACACATTCTTAAAGACACAAACAATAACCAGACTGAAAACTGGATTTGGACTTTTCTGGTTTACGTTTAATTATATCAAACATTTATTTATGTGCATACAGCACTTTTCCAAGGCTTTTGCTGATAAGATTGCTATGTATTTTAGTAGGAACAATTAGTAGGAACAGATGCACCTCCACACACCTACAAGATTTATCATGTGAAGCTGCTACTGTATTATGAAGACAACAGAATATTGTACTGGAACAAAATGCAAGTAACTCACAATTTTCTGAGATTTAATTACATACTTGTAACTTGAGCCCAAGCTATTGTTACAAGACTGCATTACCTTTTGGCATTTTCCTTGCCTTGTCTCAATCATGGTGTTTAGTTGCATACTACAAGAAGAATGCTTTTAAATAATGTATTGCTTTAATATGTTAAATGGTTTGATGGTTTATTTAGAAGTGCCATATTTCCCTCTCCATTTAAGAATGAAACCAACTGCTATTTGTCTCAAATACTGCAGACACTAAAGAGCAACAAAGAGTGTACAACAAACTGAAAAGTGTTAAGTAGCCATGAAACTGCAAACTAGACATACTGAAAAAGCCACCAAAATAGAAACAGTCAAGTTCAGTGCTATTACATTAGGACAGCAAGATACAAACTGAAATATTTCTTGCCAGTTCAGCATATACAGAAAGAATTTCATTTCCACTTTCTACTTGTAGACATACTTTTCTTCCATTTGTATAACACTCTATAAGACATTACTCACTCTCTTTGCAATGAGCACAAAGACAACTTCAATAAAATAATTAAAAAAGTACTTATTAACCCTATCTCGAGACTAAGGAAACACTAAAAAAATTGGGTAGTGGAATTATCTAAGAAACCTCTCATTCTACTCCTTTAAATGTGAAGACAGATACATTGTACAATTTTTTTATATATTTTTTTTTTTAATTAAAGAACCACTTGAATTCTTGCCAAGCATGGAATTTTAAGTTGTCCAAACTGAAATCAATATTAAAAGAAGCTGCTTGCCTTTTTTTTTTCCTAAGTGGAAAAACCACATCACTAATCAGTATCCTTCACAAAGGGAAATTACTTCTGGAATGCTAGAAACAGTGCTCCTCAACATTCATTAACTATCTGAAAAGGAGTTTGAATAAGATGACTAAGTTTACCAGTAATACCAGACAGAAGTAGTAAGGCAAACAGGTACCTCATGACAGGGGCTGAGCAGTAATGATGAAGAAAATTCAGTGTTGAATTATTTTTTTTTTTTGGAAGCGTCACAGAAGAACAATTCCAAATTTATACATACAATGGCAAACTAAACTACTGCGACTCAATACTTCCATATTATAAACATGTGATTACATAAAACTATCAGCTCAGAACTCGGCTATAGTTATGGGCTGCCATAGAAGAGGGAAAAGAACAACTTGAAAAATACTTCCCTTTTAGACTGTACAGAGCAGATTTTAAGGCAGGATTTGGGGGTTTTCTCATTTATTCCTGCATGATAGCATGCATTTCAGTTTATCCAGACTTTGGGTTAAATTCTGCATTTCACCAGCTAAATCATTCATGAAACCTAGTATGAATTTTAGCCCAGGGTTATCAAGCTTCATGGTCCCACAACCTCATACCTGAAGACTCCCATGCCTGCAAAACAGATCTTGAAATGACAGCTCTATGGACGTGTAATCCAGCAACTTGTTCAGTATGTCCTCTTGAGACATTTCTCCAAGGTATTGCAATAGTAACAAAGTGCAGTATTTTCGGCTAAAGAATACTCTGTGGTTAGATTTGTATTTTTTCACAAGACTACAGACAAGGATTCTGGTTTTGCAACTTCATTTGGTATGTCTTAATGCTACCTCTGTAGCAGTGAAGGCAAAATGACAAGCTATAAATGGACTAATATTGCAATTGAGATTAATTTTTTTACTTTTTTTTTTTTTTTTTTTTTTTTTAAGAGAACCATTATGAAAAGGCAGGACGTTAAGAGCATGTACTGCTTCTTGTAAGGATTGTCCAGTAAAAGGTAAAACTTCCTAATTATATACAGTACTTACGTAACCAACATTTCAGGAGGCTGGAGGTAAAAATACCTACCTAGATATCTATTTTAAATTGTATTCCAGTAACACCTGTGTAACTCAGATGCAGAAATTGCTAGGTATTGTAGTTAAACTCAACACCTTGGCATAGTGCCTATCTTGTACCTGAAAAACAAAGGATGCTTCATATGCTACGTACTTTAAAAATACCTGACCATTAAGCTCTTCAGATAAAATGAAAATAACCGAGTTCACTGGAAGACATAAGGAATAGATCACGAAAGCTGAACCAAACTGCTGATGAATAGTAGGGCCTTAAAAGACAAGGGGAAAAAAGCCAGATACAGTAAAAGCAGCCCAATGATGAAAGAGAGGAACCTAAAACCAGAACAATAACCTAGGACAACTGACTCCGAGACTAACAAGTTTAACATTGAGGACAGATAAGAAACAATTCAATAATCAGTGAGAAATAATGGACAAAACCACTAAGTAGTCACTCAAACATAATGCAGGCTTTTCCTTTTTCAAGCTAGAGAGTTCAAGAAAAGGCTCACAGTCGTTAGCTCCCTGTTCTCTGAACTCTTATCTACAAAGAACAAGTAAATCAATTCCTTTGAAACATATTTAACATGCAGCTTCAGTCTCATAGCTTTTACCTGCCATAAATACCTTGAGTACTTTAATGACTGTACAGGGAAGCTTAAAACTCTCCACAAGCACCATTGGATATAAGGAAAGAGAAAGGAAATTATATAAACCAAACATACCTTGTGTTGTTCTATTGCATCTACCCACTGTTGTCTGTGGTCTGGGTCCTGAGCTCGGAGGTACCAAACACTATCGTTTACGCTAATATCAAATCTGCATTCGTCAAAGTCATGGGGCTGTGACAGAAAGGAACATAAGAGTAGCTAAAATTAGCAAAACCTCATAGAATATTTTGACACTTTTAACAGACAAATTTAAAAAAACTGGTTTATAGTCTTGCATTCATCCTTGATTCTAAATTCCATTTTACGTAGCTGTCTCAAAATAATGAACATACTCTCATAATAAAAAATGCTAGTCTTCTGAAATAGAAAAGACTGTTTAACACATTCTTATTAAATAAAATTGTCACGAAAAATTTCCACACAAACACTGATAAAAACTGCATACCTTGAAACAAATCCTTTAGCAAGGTAACTACTGGACACAGCCAGCAAAATACAACTTGTATATACATTTTTTTATTTCAACGCAGGAAAATACTAATGTTATCATTATCAGTATTGATTTTTAGATAGAATACACACATCATAACAAATAGCACCAGGATAGAACCATAAAAATAAACTATAGCAAAATGACAACTAAGAGCAGGAACTAAAGGAAGCCATGGCATCTTCTGCCTCAACTATTTTCACCATCTAAGACAAATGGGAGCAGCACTCAATCCGTTCTAATGTCACCACTCAAATGCATCTAACTTTCAGCTCACACGCCTTAAATAGTAAAAAGCTTTTACTAGCATTACAGGGAAGCTGGAAGGAAAGTACAAGGAAATGAAACAACGATCTAATCTGCCCTGTCCGTTCAAAGCGACTCCTTAGAAAACCTCCAATTGAGCACAACATTCCCCACCCCACTCCCACCCTTGAAAACTATGCTTAAGGAAACATAACATGTATATAGCCGAAAACCTTTTTGAATTTTAATACAAACAAAAAGGTTACACATGCAAATAACTGTAGGAAGCTAAAAGGCTCTAAGGTTAAGGCAAATGACACAATCTGAAGGACCACAAACATTGATTCCAGATGCTAAAGATGAGCCTGCACATGTTAGTAATATCCTTTACAATATGAGAACCACTTTGCAAATACATTCATCTTTGCAGACAACTAAAGCACTGTGGATCACTCATTAAATATTCCACAAAAGAAAACCTAGACACAAGTCTCATTTGTTGTCATGCACAGTCCAGTGCCAGTGAGAATTATTTCCCAAGGATCTGGAAGTTATGCTACTTACACATAATATACAAACTTTCTTGTTTAAATATACAGTGGAGGAAGAAAAGCACAACAGAAGCAAAACTACCAAATGAAAAAAACAAGTTAGGAAGAGTTTAAAAAGTACACAAAGTTTCACTTTTTTAAAGCTTCACGTATTTCGTCAGGCATCTGAACCTAAGTTCAACTTAAAGAAACTTAAACTCACAGGGGAGAAGAAAAAATATCCACACAAACTACCAACTGACAAAACTGACAAACAGCAGCAGCAACTGATTACTCGATACCTGACCATCTCAAGTTAATTCAAATCAAACAGCTTTCAAAATGGTTCTATACACTGCTTTGCTTTCACTGAACCACAGAACACAGGGATATAAGGAGGGACATGTGGTGAGTTGACCCTGGCTAGACATCACCTTCCCACCACAGCTGCTCTACGACTCCCCTCTTCAACTGGACAGGGGAGAGGAAACATGTTGAAAGGCTCATGTGTCAAAATAAGCACAGGGAAAGATCACTCACCAATTACCATCATGGACAAACCTGACGTGACTTGGGAAAATTAATTTATTACCAATCAAATCGAAGTAGAATAGTGAGACCAAAACTAAAGGTACCTTTCCCTATCCCTCCCTCTTCTCAGCCTCAGCTTCACTCCTGATTTTCTCTAACTCCTCCTGCCCAGTAGCACACGGGGCCAGGAATGGGGGTTAGTCCCTCTCTGTCACTCCTTCCTCCTCACACTCCTCCCCTGCTCTAGCATGGGGTTCCTCACACAGGAGTCCTCCACGAACTTCTCCAATGTGAATCCTTCCCATGGGCTGCAGTTCTGCATAAATTGCTCCAGTGTGGGCCCTGTCCATGGGGTTCATCCTTCAGGAACAGGCTGCTCCAGTGTGGGTCCCCCACAGTGTCACCAGTCCTGCAGCAAACCTGCTCCAGCCTGGGCTCCTCTCTGCACAGGGCCACAGGTCCTGCCAGAAGCCTGCTCTAGAGCAGGCTTCCCACAGGTCACAGCCTCCTTCAGCCATCCCCCTGCTCCAGTGTGGTGTCCTCCATGGGCTGCATGGGGAGATCTGCTCCCCCATGTCCCTCCATGGGCTGCAGGGACACAGCTGCCTCACCAGGGGCTGCACCAGGGGCTGCAGGGGGGTCTCTGCTCCAGCCTCTGGAGCACCTCCTGCCCTCCTTCACTGGCCTTGGTGTCTGCAGAATTGTTGCTTTCATATATTCTCACCCCTCTCTCCAGCTGCTGGTGCACAGCAGGCTTTACCCTTTCTTAAACAGACCATCACAGAGGCACTACTATCAAAACTGATCAAGTCAGCTTTGCCCACCAGCAGATCCATCTTGGAGAAAGACAGAACTGGCTCTACCAGATATCGGGGCAGCTTCTCACAGAAGGCACAACAGTAGGCACCCTTATTGCCAAAACCTTGCCATATTAACCCAATACAGGGCATGAAGTTTTCTAGTCCAGGCCCCTCTTCTTCAAACTGTATTTGCTACATTATTATTACTATATACAAGAAAGATGCTTATCTGCTTTAGGGTACCAAACTTGTTGTATCAATGAGTCAGGTTTATATGACTGTTACCAGCCACCCACATGGCAGGCCCTCCTTTAGCCATGTGATAGGGTTCCTGCATCTACAACGATGGAAGATCCTCTCAAAAAAATCACCCAAAAAGCAAACGTACAAGAGTCGGCTATCAACGTTTTTCCTACCATGACAGTGTTCTTCTGCTCAGTCTTGCTCTCTGAAGCCCTCTGGGAGCAGTTGCATGCTATACGGAAGACTTGCCAAAATTCATCTTGAAAGCCTGCAGTACTACTGATTCCACACTTCCATATATAACTTACTCCAGTGCACAACCATCCTTGCTTCCCCTCTCCCCCATCTCTAACCTAAACATCATCTAATATGATTTCAGACCATCACCTCACTGCCTTTTTCAAAGGCAGGTTTATGTACTCCCTTTCTTTCCATAGCAACTCTTTAATTCCTTGAAAATCTACACCTTATTGCTAACACAGGGGAGGGAAAATGTTTTTCTTGAGGTCTAGCTAAAACCTTTAAACACTGTGGCATTCACTACATGCATACTTCTGCATTACATACAGTTAAGAGACTAGGCCACCTAAAAATCAGGTCTAGGGTTATAGTCAGTTTACCGTGCAGTTCCATGTTACAAATAAAGCCAGCTGATCAGGTGGTCCTGTTAGACAAGTTGCTTAAAGGTGAGAAATATCCACTAACAAGTCTAAATACTGCTTCAAAAGGAAGTTAGGCAGGTGATACCCGAATTGCTCTTGACAGATGCATGCTACCTATTTAGCACTTACAGTACTTATAAAATGCCTATATTCCTTATTTTTGACAACTGAAATGAGATCCATTCCCCTGCCCCCAACACCCCCTTTTCCTCTGTGTGGTTTTTTTTTTTTGTTGTTTTTGTTTCTTGGGTTGGTTGTGTTTTTTTTAAAGACAGGCTCCACCGTAAGAACCCTAAATTAACACAACATGAAAGGCAAGTTCTCTAATATGTATTTTACCAAGAGTAAATAAAACACCTGAATGACATGTGACCCATTCTTGCCTTAACACAGGACAAATTGAGTTGTTGTTGATTAACCTTTTTCTCAACCAGGAATGAGTTCGTATTTCATCTTCACTGATAACTTGGCAAGCTTCAATGTGTAACTATTTGGTATCATCTGTTACATTCTCCTCCCCACTGAGCTATGGACAAACTTCCTTGTTTCTCCTCTTGCTATAAATGCTTTTATTGTTTACTGTAGCTGCATCTAGCAAAGACCAAAGTGTTATTCACCACTTCTCAGGTCTGTCCTTTATGTTTCCAACATCCTCCACAGACAAGTTTGAGCTTCTCCTTACGCTAACTAGAAGTTTTTCCATTTCTCTTCCCTTCACTTTCTCCCTGCACATCTAAACATATTTCATTTAGGTCTCCTTTTCTGAGGTTCACCTTTTCTAGCCTAGTGTTTGTTTTCCTCCTTGTGCTCAGAAGTGATTATGAAATGGTACAGTTCTTAGGCAGCTGCCTAAGACACTGGAGAATAAATAGGGATTTTCATCTATAATAAGCTAAGGGCCCCTACTGAGGCCACGATATGTCCTACTGCCCTTTCACAAGCAAAGTAAGACAAGAAAGAGGAATATTTTAGTCATGCAGGTAAAAAAGAAGCAAATAGGACGTCACTATCTACCTTCATGACCCAAAGCACATTGGAGAACTTCAGCTTCTTTTTCCTTACACCTCCAACTCATAGCAGTCTCAAGCAGCTTACATAGATTGAGAAGGCACTGGGGAACAAATCCCAGACTGACCTGACACTGTGAACAGGAGCACCTGAAAAGCTTTATAGCATTTTTAAAGGTGAGTTGGGCAGACTTCAAGAACCTGCAGCAGACGCAGCCTGTGTGTGCACGAAAAGCTCCTTGTAGAGCCAGCTTTAAAAAAAACCCAAAACCCAAACAGTTAAATCATAATTCCGTGCAAGAACATGCTGCAAGATATAGGCCTCCAGCATCCCCAAACACCCTTTTCTGTTTTCCAAGGCACCTGTAGAGTAAAAAGGTGATTGCAAGTATTCAAAAGTCCCAAATCTTTCTGCGTAAAACCAACTGATGCTAGCTCTTAAACTCTAAAGAAGCAAGAAGAGTTTACACGAAGAAACATTTACTTGGCTACAGTTACTGAGGAAGTCTGTAGCCCCTTCAGGTCTCATGAGTCATAGCTGACTGCACTGCAACAAAACCCTTCCTGCTATATAACACTCAAGCCTGAGGTATTCATGTAAAAAGCCTCAGAGCAGTATCTGCTTGATAAATACTGGTTCAAGTGCTTGAAGCAAATTACAC